CCTGTAGTCCTAACTGCTTGGAAGGCTGAGGCAAGAGAATTTCTTGAGCCCAAAAGTTTGAGGTTGGTATGAGCTATGATGCCACAACGATCTACCAAGGGCAAGTGAGACTCTGTCCCAAAACAACAACAACAACAGCAAAAATCAAGCAATCCACATGCCTTGGCCTTCCAGAGTGCTAGGATTATAGGTGTGAGTCATTGTGCCTGCCCCCCCAACCCCCTGCCCCAAGTCTTCTCTTGCTCAGGCTGGTCTGGAACTCCTGGCCTCAGGGTGAATCTCCTGCCTCAGCCTCCCAGAGTATTAGGATTATAGGCATGAGCTACCAACATTGGGCTGGGCCAGGGATCTGGATGTTGAATTTGGTGATCCTGGGACACAAAAGTACCCTTCTACCTCTTCAATCCTCCCCCTACCATTTGTCCAGCTGTCTTTATAGCTCTCAGGACAAGAATCCTCTCTTTATCATTGTCAGAAAACTGGACTTAGATTCTTGGAGCCTGCCAAAAAGGGTCCCTCCGTCCCTACCAGGCTAAGTTGGTTCTGCCTTGGGAGGGTCATGACCCAGTCACAGGGCTACTGAGGAAAGGAGCAGCAGCCCTGGCTCCAGGTGTCCCCAGCCTAGGCTGCTCCTCTGATGTTTTCCCTGACACCACCCCGCCTGGCCTGTTCCTGGCACCAAAGACCATGCTGGCTGTGGAGGTTGATCAAGCTCCCCTGCCAGGGGCTAAATCTGGGAACTGCTGCCATGTGTCTGGCCCTGCCACTCCACCTCTGGTGCCTGGTGGGGAGGCCCCTTCCTGACCTTCAGGGATCGGCTGCCATGGTCAGTGGGGCCAGGGCAGCGGTGGATTGGCTGGGGCTTGAGTTAGGGCATGGTGGTCTTCCTGGGAAGGGGGCAGCAGGGCTTCCAGACTCTCCCTTATCAGGGACAGTCCTTGGGCCTGTTGGGGAAGTGGGCAGTCAGAGGGGGGAACAAGGGGGCTAGAATTGGGCTGCTAGGCCAGGAAGGGGCAAGAGGACAGACAGATGGCAGACACCTGCCCCTGAGCCTCTGTCCACTGCAAAGCACTGAGATCTTCCCTGGCCGCACCATCTGTGGTCTCTGGTTCACTGGTTCTGGGTCTGGAAGACCCCCATCTCTGACCTCCCTCCTTCTTGCCACCAGTCCCACCGGAAGTTTTCTGCCCCCCGACATGGACACCTGGGCTTCCTGCCACACAAGAGAAGCCGCCGGCACCGAGGCAAGGTGAAGACATGGCCGCGAGATAACCCCAGCCAGCCCGTGCACCTCACAGCCTTCCTGGGCTACAAGGCAGGCATGACCCACACTCTGCGAGAAGTGCACCGGCCGGGGCTCAGTGAGTCACAGCACTGGGGACACATGGTGGGGGGTGGAACCTGCCAGATGCAATGAGACAGAATTCACTCTCCTTGTCCAGGAGGGGCCACAGTCCCAGAAAGGTCAAGGCCCTGCCCATAAGAACTGCAGTTAACACAGCAATGGGCTTCACACTGATCTCTACTGTGGTTCTGTCATTGCCCCTTGTTCTCAAGTGAGGAAATCAAAACACAGAGCAGTCCCAAAACTGGCCCATTCACCAGTGAGTGGAGGAGCTGGGATTTAAGGGCAACTGCCCACACCTGGCTTTAAACCACTTGCCAGGATGTCTGCATATTTTGGTTATTTCTGGTCTATGTCATAACCTGGTACAAAGGCTGTTTGGATAGTATTTAGCCATGTGTGTCTCTTTTATGGGACGTGGCTGGATACTTTCTGGACAGGTCTTGTACCCTTTTAAAAATTTATTTATTTTTTGAGACAAATTATTTATTTTTGATATTGCCCTCTATAGAGTACTATGCTGTGCTGTCACAGCTCACGGCAACCTCAAACTCTTGGGCTTAAGCGATTCTGTTGCCTCAGCCTCCCAAGTAACTGGGACTATAGGTGCCTACCACAACGCCCAGCTATTTTTTTTTGTTGTTGCTGTTATTGCAATTGTCACTGTTTAGTTGGCCTGGGCCAGGTTCAAACACGCCACCCTTGGCTCATGTGGCTGGCACCATAACCACTGTGCTACAGGTGCCAAGCCTGTACCCTTGTATTTATACACATATTTATATATAGTTGAATTGGGTTTTTTTTGAGATAGAGTCTCAAGTTGTCACCCTGGGTAGAGTGCCATGGCATTGTAGTTCACAGCTCAAACTCTTAGGCTCAAGTGATCCTCCTGCCTCAGCCTCCCAAGAAGCTGGGACTATAGGCACCAGCCACAACACCTGGATAGTTTTTCTATTTTTAGTCTTGGTTTTGCTCACGCTAGTCTTGAACTTCTGAGTATAAGCAATCCACCTGCCTCGGCCTCCCAGGGTGCTGGGATTACAGGTGTGAGTCCTGCTTTTGTTTTGTTTTGTTTCTTAAGTGAAAGTGAGATTTTTTCAGAAACCATAGAATATTAGAAAGTATACTCCACAGGTGCAGCACCTGTGGCTCAAAGGAGTAGGGCACCGGCCCCATATGCCAGAGGTGGCGGGTTCAAACCCAGCCCTGGCCAAAAAACTGCAAAAAAAAAAAAAAGAAAGAAAGAAAGAAAAAAGAAACTCTACTCCACAGAGCAAAGGCAAATTCTCCCTGCAGAAGAGAACCCATCTGTAGAAACATCTTGAAAAACTCTAGTAACATATCACAACCAGGATACCAACATCATAGACAGTCTATCCTCTTCTGCAGGATTCCCCAGTTCTGTACTCACCCATTCACGTGTGTGTACATTTGTGTATTGAGGTTTTTTTTGTTTGTTTGTTTTTGAGATAGTGTCTCCCTCTGTTGGCCTGGGCTAGAGTGTGGTGGTGTCATCATAGCTCACTGCAGCCTTGAACTCCTGGGCTCAAATGATCCTTCTGCCTCAGCCTCCCAAGTAGCTGGGACTACAGGAGTGTGCCACCACACCTGGCTAATTTTTCTTGTTTTTTGTACAGACAGGGTCTCACAATATTGCTTGACTGGTCTCAAACTCTTGGTCTCCCGTCTTAGCCTCCTGCCTCAGCCTCCCAAAGTGCTGGGATTATAGGCAGAAACCACAGTGCTCAGCCCTAATATATTTTTTTAACATGTACTTCTTTTGCAGTGATATCCATAAAAGCATTTATGTTTTTGGGCTAGTCATAGGTCTTGCTAGACATTACAAAAATACATTTATGGGCAGCGCCTGTGGCTCAAAGGGGTAGGGCACTGGCCCATATGCCCGAGGTGGTGAGTTCAAACCCAGCTCTGGCCAAAAGCTGCCAAAAAAATTTACATATTATATATGATATATATAATATATATTAAAATAACAAATGCTCATTTGGGCTCCTTGGGAGTAAAGGAGGCCCAACTCCTCTTTGGGGACACTGCCTGGCTGCTGGCCTGGCCTACCTCCGTATGGCTGGCTCTTCTCCTCCCTTCTCCATGGTCCTCGGGAGGACCCTCTCCATGTCTCTATCCCTGTGTATATCTCACGTAGAAATTTCCAAGCGAGAGGAAGTGGAGGCAGTGACGATTGTGGAGACACCGCCTCTAGTGGTGGTGGGTGTGGTGGGCTATGTGGCCACGCCTCGAGGTCTGCGGAGCTTCAAGACCATCTTTGCAGAGCACCTCAGTGATGAGTGCCGCCGCCGATTCTACAAGGACTGGTAAGTGCTGTCCTTGAGTGGGCCATACCAGAACTGGTGGGACCACCGGGGTTGGGTGCCTGAAGCCCTAGCTCTGTGCTGAATGATGGGGGTGGGTGGGCAGGAGGAGAATTGTCAACAGTATGTGGAGCATAGCAAAATGAGTATATGTGTATATGTGTGTGTGTTTGGTGCCTTCATTTCAATAACAGATGAGAACTAGAGGGCTGAAAAGGAAATTAGAATTGGGGAGGAAAAAGCAGATATTCTAATCCTTAGGATTAATTAAAAGTGTAATTTGATGGAATGTTAGAATTGGCTCTGAGCTTCCTAGCAGCCCGAATGAAAAGGGAAACAGCAAACTGAAAAGCTCTTATACAAAGAAAGAAAAAAGATATCCTCAAATCTTCCCTGGCCCTCAAAGGGAAGGGCTACCTGTCTGGGGAAACAGTCCTCTCAAAGAGGCAGAGGAACAGCTCAGCCCTGACCCTCTTCGGGAGGTGACAAGCCTGTGCCCCAGAGTCAGAGGAGGGTGTGTGACCAGAGGCAAGCTGGCTGCCTCTTGAGTCCCTCTGCTGTAGAGTGGCCCCTGTGTTCTGGGAGGACTAGTTGAGCGGAG